TCTGGATCTTCTCCTGCAGCCTCTAGTAAAACATCTCTAAAATGTCAGAGTGAGTCCGTGTGAGAAAACATCTGGAACCTTCCTAGTGAGCGAGTGGGCGTGTCTCTGAGGTTTCTAACACGTGACGGACGTGAAACTGAAGAACACAAACGTCTCAGGATGAAGAAGAGGAGCCGTACACGTAGAAGACGAAGACGTCCACTTGGAAAGACGAGGAGGTTCCAGATGTTTTGGTGATGAGGGCCGACGCCGGCGTGGACGAGCTGTAAACACTCGTCTCGTCTGAATGTCCCCACATGTTCCTGTTGTTGTGAACGAGTCGACGATCTGCTGCTTCACACACACTGACTACACAACATGTCTACACAACATGTCTACACAATATTTTACACAGCTCATGTGAGAAAACTGAAAGGTTTTGGTCACAATTTCAAAATGTGTTAAAGCTTCTTTTTGACTTTATTCAGCTGTAGCATCAGTGTGTTCTATGTTTTTAGAGCTGTAGAGTAAAAACATGTGACTCTTCATTCAGTCAATAAAGGTCGTAACCAGCCTCACAACTGTGACACACTGCAGCTACACAACATTAACAAACAGCTGCTGCCCAAACTGTTTCAGAAACAAACTGATTAAACACAGACGCCAATCAAAGTGAGGACGACTCTCCGCCCTGCTGCAGGAACGTCTGCTTCTCGTTCACGTGATTTATTCATGTTTCGTGTTTTTCCTCAGGCTCCACCGGCGCAGACCCCCACTACGAGAGGGTCTTCCTGTTGGACCCACAGTACCAGAACCCGGCGGTGCTGAGGAACAAGCTGCCCGAGCTGTCGCAGAGCGCCGAGGCCTCAGGTGAACGCTCGATGGAACAGTTTTTATTTAACTTCTGCACATAAAGAAAAGTGTAGGAATAAGATCCAGGTGGAGAAAAAGAAAACGTGTTTGTGTTTTATTGACAAGTCTCGTCTATGGAAACGTAAACTTACCCTGAATGAGTGACGGCTTCAAAATGTCGACGTGTTTCGACTCGACTGTGTCTCCTCTGGTCATGTGTTTTTTCTAAAGTTAACAAAGAGCACTGACACACACTGCTGCAGTCTGCCCCCTAGTGGCTTCTTCATCAACTTCACCTCTTTGTTCTCCGTCACTCAAGAACATTTCAATTTCTTTATCTCGTCCTGAACAAGACTTTCATTATTTTATTATCTCTCTTCTGTCACATTTCCTCCGATGCTGTGACTCTGCATGTTCATTCACTCTGCAGTGTTTCTCTTGCTCTCTTTCTCTTCTTCATCCTCCTCTTCCTCCAGCTCTCCTTCTGGGTAATCCTCTCTATGACCTCCTCCTGCTCACTTCCTGTCACATGACGTCAGGCTGGCTGCGTGGTAAGGTTAGAAAGGTTCAAGTTACTGAAAGTCACGAAAATTAAATAATCAAATCACTGATTCAAATTAAGTTTTGAGATGATCTCTTATTCGTCCCACAGCAGAAAAAATGATTTATGTGTTGATGAAAATGTTTGATTGACTCCAGAGGCTGAAAACTGTCACAGTCACTGAGTTTAGAAAGTTATATAATAATAATAAGTTATTATATTAGAGAAACTTCTTATGAACATGAGTATTATAATTTTCAATCGTGACCATTTTCAGCTTTTGTATTGAAGACAATTTAAATCTACATAAAATGTGGCGTCAAAATAAAAATCGATGAACTTAATAATATTCATGATTCTTAAAACAGAAAATAAATAACATGAAACTTCTCATCTCTCAGCATGTGGCGGAGGATACGCTGAGCCTGACGTCACCCAGTGCACACCGCACCAGTGTTTCCATAACAACGCGCCGCACTACGCTGAGACGGACATTGTGCGGCTGCAGGGCGTCACCGGCAGCAACATGTACGCCGTCCCCGCTCTCACCGTGGACTCTCTCACCCGGAAGGACATCTCGGCTGCCGAGTTCCCACGGCAACAGCTGATCTTCAGGGAGAAGCTGGGGGAGGGTCAGTTTGGAGAGGTGAGTCCCAACGTCCAGGAAACGAGTTCTCGTGGCAGAGTTTCCAGGATCTGAACCGTATTTCTTCATCTCCTGCAGGTCCACCTGTGTGAGGCTGAGGCACTCCCAGAATTCCTCGGGGAGGGGTCGCCCCTCCCTGAACGAGACGGCCACTCGGTGCTTGTGGCCGTTAAACAGCTGAGGGCCGACGCCACCAGCCAAGCCAGGTATTCATATGCAACTGCAGCTGCGGTGAAATCTTCATCAAGCATTTTGGTGATTTGTGTAAAGCGATCGTAAGATAAACCTGAGATTTACATTCTTGTTTTGAAGCGTGATTCGAAAATATCTCACATCTGATTTCGAGGCTAAATTCTTCTCCTCTCGTCTTCCTCCCTCCGACTCTCCCTCCGTCAGGAACGACTTCCTGAAGGAGATAAAGATCATGTCTCGTCTGAATGACCCCAACATCATCCGGCTGCTGTGTGTGTGCGTGTCGTCAGACCCGCTGTGCATGGTGACCGAATACATGGAGAACGGAGACCTCAACATGTTTCTGTCACAGCGAGAGATCGAGAGCACACTGACACATGCCAACAACATCCCTTCAGTCAGGTAGATACCCCAAACACACTGTGACGTTTATACATGCTACCAACACGCCATCAGTCATTATTTGAACTTTTAAAACCTCATGTGGTGTTTGATGCAAACAGAAGGGGGGGACCTAATTCCCGCAACACGTGCTACAAGCTCCAATCAATCGACATCTACTTTTCTCCAGACGAACGTGTGCATTGAAATTGTTGATTCCTTTCACCTTCACCTTTATTAATGTTTGACCTCTTCCCTGTTTCACCACGTCCTCCTCCGTCCTCCTCCGTCTCGCTCCGTCCAGTCTGTCCGACCTCCTCCACATGTCGGTGCAGATCTCGTCGGGGATGAAGTATCTGGCATCTCTGAACTTCGTGCATCGAGACCTGGCCACGAGAAACTGCCTGCTGGACCGGCGCCTCACCATCAAGATCGCCGACTTCGGGATGAGCCGAAACCTATACAGCAGTGACTACTACCGCATCCAGGGCCGGGCGGTGCTGCCCATACGATGGATGGCGTGGGAGAGCATCCTACTGGTGAGAAACAGGGACGAGTTAGTAAAGAAAGAAAAAGTGCTTTGCAGTTGTGAAAAGCAACAAGTATGTGCTGGAAAACCAGAACAGCTTCCTCTTTAGGTTTTACCATTTGCCTTCTATTTATAATTTGACTTGTACCACATTTCTATTTCATGTGGACACGCCCCTCCTCCTCCTCCTCCTCCTCCTCCTCCTCAGGGTAAGTTCACCACGGCCAGCGACGTGTGGGCGTTCGGTGTCACCCTGTGGGAAATCTTCACCCTGTGCAAGGAGCAGCCGTACAGCCTGCTGTCTGACGAACAGGTCATCGAGAACACTGGCGAGTTCTTCAGGAACCAGGGCAGACAGGTGAGATGAATCAAACGCACCCACAAAGACTAGTTCAGCACAGTTCTGCCTTGTCCTTGTGTCCACGTTCTCATGATTCCACCCCCCACAATCTAAAAGGTCAATCTAGTTTCCCGATTCTACACTTTTTAAAGTCGCCTTGATGGTTCCTGTACCTGAGGAATGTTTTTGACTCTCCTGTGTTTCAGATTTTTCTCTACACCCCGCCTCTCTGCCCACCTTCTCTCTTTGAGCTGATGATGCGTTGTTGGAGTCGAGATATCCCCAACCGACCGTCCTTCGAGGGACTTTACCAAGCCCTGAGGCCCCACGTCAACCAGTGAGCCGAGGCCACTGGGATGTACCGCTCTGGCTTTCCTCCGCAAAGCATTTGTTTGTATCTGGACTCCTGGAAAACGACAGACTGACGTGAAATGAGAGCGAGTCTCAGTCAGAGGAAAGTGACGGAGCCACAGGTTGGTTTGCTTTGTGGGAATGGCTGAGAGACAAGATGGAGATGGGAAGGGGATGAAAAGGCTGGTCGACTCAGAGGAGGAACGTTTCACCAGATCAGAACCTTTCAGTCGTAGTGAACAAAGATTTTTAAGCTTTCCACAGATTTCTGTCAAAGTCAGTTTCAAAGTTTCATCCATCTCAAGCCTCTTTGACCAAAATATCTTGTCGGACCTTTTGACAAATCTTCTTTTCTTGTTGTTGTGGTGCCAAAGGTGCCTTAGACTTTATTTCCCTCCTCTTCAGTCCTGGTAGTGTCTCCTGTCCCTGTGGTTTTTATTATTATTGTAAAGCACTGTGTCTGTGTCTCAGTTATTCGTGTTCATATATTAACCCACACTGGAGCTAGGGTTAGGGTGAAGTTGTAGTGTAGGATTTTATTTTTTAAGATTTTTATTCAGTTTCATTGTTTTCTTGGTTTATTGTATTTTCACGTGTTTTTTGTGGATGTTGTCCAGCTGAGGTCGATCAGTGTCACACGGCTGCAGTGAAACCTGCGTCAGTCACTGTGGCTCGTGAGGGAAAGAAAGACAAGAGGAGGTTAAAACCAAATAAGATAAAAATGACTGAGATAATGAACAAAGATTGTTAATGTTAAAACGATTGAATTATTCTGGTAAAATTATAAAACTCATCCATATAAAATTTTTTATTAATGACATCTAAACTTGATGTTTTTATCCAAAGTGATGACATTTGAAGGAGGTGAGTTCACCTTCCAGTGCAAATCACAACTCTGGTTCTGAAAATGTGGAGGAATCAAACTTTATGTAAATATCGTAATGTCAAGGTATCAATTCATCTCTGTCTGTTTGTGGATCTTAAAACACGAATGTTGGAGTCCATCAGCCTCATGGTTGAGTTAGCTTGTGGTTTGTGTTAGCCAGCTAGCCACAGATCATTAAGACAGAAACAAATTAAAATGGCAAATAAAATGATGTTGTTAGTTTGCATAACTGCAGTTGGTTAATAACTTGTTCGCTGGGGACAAGATTTACTTCAGTGTCAGATATATGCAAGCTAACTACATCGGCTAACTAACCGGCAGGTTAAGGTTCAGCGAGGTATAAATTAGGTTATAAGACTTTAGGGTTCGTTCCAGAAACAGTGGAGGTGTTGGTTAACCCATCACTAGTTTTCTTGCCCTCCCCCACGTTGACAGTATCATAGTTAGACTAAGTTTGGTGTTATTTTACTGCTGCAGCCAATCCAACCACATTGAGGTCAAGTTTCGACAACTGGAGATGAAGCATTATGTCCATCGTAGCCTGAACGTAGCAGAACTACTGTGTTAGAACGGGACCCTGGGATCTGAGGGCCTGAGGAGCTGATCCACCTGAAACAGATGAAGATCTCACCCGTCGCTCTCTTCATCAACCAGCCAATCACTGCTGCACCTTCAGGCCTGACACTCTCAAGGAGGAGATTTCAGAAAATACAGAATCCTTCTCTAAATCAGCCGCGATGACCCGTCAACAAGGTGTTTCTTCAAATCTATGTTAATCTGCTCTGCATAACATTTGAAAGAGTTGTTGATGCAGAGAAAGAGGTGATGGAGATGTTACACACACGAACCGCACGATTTACCTTTTTATTAAGCTTTAAACAAGTTAAACCAAAGGCTCAACATTCTACTACAGAACATTGTTCTGTCGATCAACAACAAATCATCTCTGTTGATCTGACGTATGAGCTAAAAACAGGAAACGCTACCTTTGCTTTTCAGCGTCAGCTGTAACTGTTCCACACACATGGTTCCACAGTAACGAGACCGGAGTCCATACTAATATGTATTTAACACACTGAGCTTATTGTGCCATTAGCAATAATGGAGCTAGTGTTAGCTGGTTTTAGCTAAATGCTAACAGTTAGACTGGATAGCTCTTCATGTTAGCAGACCTGCTACACTGACAGTTTTACCATAATTTCCCACTTTTCAAAAGCATTTAAGTTGTAACTTGAACTTTAATAGATATCGTACGTATTGAACAAGCATGGCATTTATTGGCTAACTGTTTTCAATGTTTTGTTGCTAATGTTTTAGTTTTGTTATTGATTAAACAGCTGGAATCTCAGCAGCTGTATCCACTGATATGATGACACTGTGTACGGTTGACGTTAAACACATGGCAGATTTTCTTTAGCTTCCCTTCCACATGACTTTCACACGGCATAAGCTAACATGGAGAGCTAGCATGTTAGCAGTTCGTTTGGTAACCAATTAGCGTGTTTCCGGTGTGATGAAATCTTCGCGCTGAAATAGAGATCATCTGAATGTGGTACAACAATTACATTTTGGTAAACAGCATTTTACGCCTCATTCTTTTTATGTTTAAATGTTAATATTGAATAATATTTTTCAATCAGGTCATCTTAAAAAAAAGTGGCTTGAAAATGTGTTGTCCAAAATGTAAAATGGCGTAAACCACAATAACCTTGGCAGAAACGGAGAAGGAGTGTTCGTTCAGCCTGAGCGCATCTTCCAGTGTTGCAGTGTTTCGTTATCTGTACTGTATCTTCACATTTCTACGAGTGTGTGTTTATCAGAAGTTTTGTGAGTGAATATTTTTGAACATTCCTCTGAACACTGGGAGCTCATTGAGATTAACGTGGTTCTAGTTGCTGTCGTGTCCATTAGATCAAACGAGGGAGAGAAGTTTTTAAAGGGAAAAAGTGCAGGAAGTAAGGAAACCACTAAACTCAATCTCCCAGAGTCCTTTGCTACAGTGAGCCTGTGCGTGTTGTTCTGGTTGCATCGGAGGGGTTGGTGTGTTGTGTACAGTACAAGTGATCTAATATCTCAGTGTGTGAATGCAGATTAGGTGTGATAATTGTTATTGATAATTGATTATCGATCAGAATTTATTGTAGCTACTTCTCTGATTATTTCTGTTTTGGGAAGTTTTTTCTTTAATCCAGCAGATTTGAAAATGTTTTTGTTTTCCTGCTGCGTCTTCTTCTGATTCTCATCCACTGTTTGACCCCCCCC